GTACGTGTGACGCGCTGCGCGCGCTGCTGCTGTGCTGCTGCTGTTGCGCTGCACGAACGAGCGAGGAGCGAGAGAGACAAAGTCAAAGCGGAACCCACCTAATACACAACACATCCACTGAGCTAAACAGTCAGCGCTGACTGCTTAGCTCAGTGGATATGNCACCTAATACACAACACATCCACTGAGCTAAACAGTCAGCGCTGACTGTTTAGCTCAGTGGATATGTTGTACATCTAACAAAAGTACAACCAGGGTCCGATCAGCTGTTAGGCTGTCTGACTCTGGTTTTCCCCCAGGGTTGTAATCCCTGTAATCAGCGCTGCCCCAAGCGGTTCATCGGCTTACAGGCGGGGATATGTGTCTTCATCCTTGACGACTGGTGATGTGTACCATGGCTTTCAGGTGCGTATCCCAGACTTTTTTCTCCTTCCCGGAAAAAAGGCGTCAAGATGACTCCCACAGGGATTCGGACCCTGGTTGTACTTTTGTTAGATATACAACATATCCACTGAGCCAAAAAGTCAGCGCTGACTGTTTTGCTCAGTGGATATGTCGTACATCTAACAATGTCAGGAAAATCGTGCGTCGAGACCACCAGCAGTCGGACACGGTTTGACCTTTGAATACGATTGCAGCAACTAGTCTGCGTAGCAATAGAAAATAATCCATCTCTCCTTGGCATGTATTCTCTTGTTCTAGAAATATTCCGGAAGCATGCTAGGTCAAGGTTGACCGGGACATCTACGTAGAACGTGTGTAGCTTCTGGAAGCCTTCTGGAAACTTCTGGTTCTTCTGTAGCTTCTGGAAGCCTTTCTGGAAACTTCTGGCTCCTTCTGTAAGCTTCTGGAAGCGTTCCAGATCTAGGTTGGTTGCAGTTGATACTCTTCTAGAACGTAGGAGGGCTTCCAGAAATCATTCTGGAAGCATTCTGGATCTTTCGTGTGATTGGCTTATTTGTCCGGTATTCGAGAAGAGTGGTGCAGCCCTAAGCTCGCCCACTCCTCTCACTCCTCTTCAGTACCAGCAACATCTGACTCGGGAGTCAGCAACTAATAAAAGCATCTTCATATTTCCATTCCAAGTCTCTCGCGGTTGGAGACGCACAGAGTGTGAACCTCTGAGGTAGGCTACACAGCCTCCTGGCATCTGCAGCATCGTACTGCTGCTAGTGCACAGCGAAATATCGCTGACAGGTTATGAGCCTCGGCTAACGCACACACTACGAGCTGCGAACATCACGGGAAGATCAAGGCAACCTCTTCTCGGGACATCAACCTTCATCCGTGGACAACGAGAGAACCTGGTTTCGGAGATTTCTGGAGATTGCGACGCCGTCATCGGTCAACGGCAACACAAGCAGACGCGCAAACTTGGTCATCTACACCAAGGTGCTGAGGGTTCACGTCGTATACACACGTTACCACCCCTGTGGCAGTAGCGGGTATCTCTGTGGTGAACTAGCAGCAAGGGTCACGTGCGCGGGAGTCTCGAGCGGCATACGCATCGGGTGTACAAGGAACTACACTGTATCATCAGTGGAGGCGATCAACAACCGGAGTCCTCTATATCAGTAGCAGGAGCGGGATCGGAAACAAGAAAACCACAACCGGAGTCCTCTATATCAGTAGCAGGAACGGGGTGGGGAAGTCTCGGGTACAGGCAGTAGTACCACGAGCAAACTTACTCCTACAGCAGGAAGTACTTTTATCAAGACGAAGAAAATAAAGCTGGAACGAGCAATGGATACTGCAACGAGCAACACAGGAGGTGGAAGCGCGTTCGCCAGCGATAGTTCTACGAACCTGGCAACCGTGATCAAAGGCCTCAAGAAATTCGACGGAAAGGACCCAGCTGAGTTCAAGACATGGATGAAGAAATTCTGCGTGGTGTTAGGTGTGACCAGGAAGGACATCCTGCCACTGCTGAAGAAACAAAGGAAGCCAGATCCCGCAGACACAGCGGCCTTCGACTCTTACACAAGGGCAAACGAAGATCTCTACGCCATTCTTTTCCTCCTAGTGGAACTTCCAGCCGCCTTGTCGATACAGAAGCACGAAGACGACACTGGCATCAGCGGCGACGGACAAGCTGCCTTCGAGGAGCTCTGCAACAACTATGACAGGGTAACGGACGAGGTCATCAGGGCCAAGATGGAGGAGCTGGAGAACAACCCCATGAACCCTGCTGAAAATCCCGACGACTACTTCAACCAGAAGCACCTACTTCGCACCCACCTGGATAAGATGGGAGAACCCATCTCCGACCGCTGCTTCAAGGACATCTGCGTACAGGGCTTCTCGGACGAATACAAGGACGTCAAACTGATGGTGTTCAGAGACCCAACCTTCAACGTCCTGGACATGCAATCCACCATGCGCAACATCTTCTTGGACGAACAATCGCGCAAGGGACGGAAGGGACGCATAGCTGGTCGAGGATTTGCCATGACAACGACCGCGTCTGACATCATCTTCCACAGCTGCTACGAGCCGGGGCACATCAGGAGGAACTGCCCCAAGATCAAGAACAGGGCGAAGAAGATAACGAAGCCCGCCGGAGCTACCAAGTGGTGCTCGAAGCACAACACCACGTCTCACTCGGACGAGGAATGCTACCAGCAAGGAGGAAAGCGCCCGGAAGACACCAAGGACTCAAGTAAAGCATTCACCGCGTGCTCCAACTGCACTCACTGCTCGTCGGCGTCCAACAAGCACGACTCAAACAATGAAGTGGCAGTTGTCGACTTCACCCGGGACGAGGACGCCTTTGACAGCGGCTTCATGTTCGGCACCTGTTCCCGCATCTCAGGGCGCAACTTCGCCGCGAGCTCCACCGGGGTAGGCCTGCTGGTAGACACGGGAACATCGGAGACCATGTTTGACAATCGCCTCATCCCCGACGGAAACCTCCACGATTACACCCAGCGAAACTCTCCAAAGATCGTGGACGTGGCCGAAGAAAGCCAACTCCAAGGCACGGCCACGGGCATCCTACACTGCACCGTCAAGGACAATCGAGGACAGCAATTGCGCGTGCGGATTCAGGGACTCAACGTTCCGGGACTCTGTCGCAACATTTTTTTGCCCACCTCCCTCCTGAAAAAGGGGTTGCGCTGCGTCGTCGAAGAGAGCACTCCGCACCTCACTATCCAAGGCAAGGTGATTCCACTCACACAAGATCCGCGAGACCAAGGCATGTGCACCCTCGACATCACGTTCGAGCAGAACGTCCAGCCATCTGGCACGAAATCCCTCGTGCCCCACCAGAAGCAGTCACAGACCCACACGGCGAACGCCGTCTGCTTTACGCTAGTGAGCGCGGACACCTGGCACAGGAGGCTTGGACATCTCAATGCTCGGAGCCTGGACATCCTTCGGAAGGACACGGGTACCGGGGTGGACTATCGCGACAGTCTCTCCCCTTGCGGGGTCTGCCAGATCGCGAAACACAAGCAGTCCCCCCACCCGAAGCTATCGACTCGCGAACTATCACGGCCTGGACAGCTTGTGGTCATCGACAACTTGGGGCCTGTTAATCCACCTGCGAAATATTAAGGAGGCTCCTTCCCGTACGCGTGCAAGATCACCGACGACCACACGAACATGAAAGAAATGTACCTGCTTCGCAAGAAATCTGACACGACCGAAGCGGTGCACACGTACAACACGTGCGTCGCAGCGGCAGGAGGCTACCGGATCGAGACCATCCGCTGCGNTAAAGGAGGCTCCTTCCCGTACGCGTGCAAGATCACCGACGACTACACGAAGATGAAAGAAGTTTACCTGCTTCGCAAGAAATCTGACACGACCGAGGCGGTGCACACGTACAACATGTGCGTCGCAGCGGCAGGAGGCTACCGGATCGAGACCATCCGCTGCGACAAGGGAGGCGAGAACACCGGATCCGAATTTCGGGACTACTGCAAGAATTCAGCTATCAAGCTCAAATACGTCGCCACCAACACCCCTCAACAAATTGGTGTATCGGAACGGGACGGACAAACCCTGNAATTTCGGGACTACTGCAAGAATTCAGCTATCAAGCTCGAGTACGCCGCCACCAACACCCCTCAACAAATTGGTGTATCGGAACGGGACGGACAAACCCTGGCCGGAGTCACCCGGTGTCTTCTGAAGGATGGAGATTTTCCGCCGTCCATGTGGGGGGAGTTAATGCTGACTGCAGCATACCTGTTGAACAGGTCCCCACACTCAGCACTGGGAGGAGCTACGCCATACTCGAAGTTGCACAATAAATCACCTGATCTCTCGGAACTTCGGATCATTGGAGCGCGCGCCTTCGTACACCACGAGAGATACCGAAAGAAGCTGGACGACAGAGCTTTCGAAGGCAAGCTATGTGGTTTCGGCCTCGACAGCCAGACCTACCGGGTATTGAATCCATCCAACGGGGCCGTGGTCGAGAGCCGGAATGTGACTTTCATCGAATCTCCACCCCGCTCAGTGCCCTTCCAGTATTTCACTGAAGCAAACGGGTACGAGAGCGACGTGCTGAGCTTCACCTCCCTGCTGGACAGCCCCCACTCGACGAGCGACCTGGACTTCACGGCGCAGAACGAACTCCTTCGGCAAGAATTCCGGAAGATGCAGCAAGACTATCTCGCTCGGGAGAAGCTTCGCCTAGAACTGGACGGACACGAAAACGAACATGGAAACGAGCAAGATCTCGACGACGGGGACGCTCCATCACCACATGTCCCATCGACGCCAGCTGGATCGTCATCCGAGACCCACGCATCTAGCCCCAGTCCATCATCGTCGAACCCGACTGAACCGGACACTTCTGCATCAACTGGATCCTCCGGCATGCGGCGCCTGCAAGTCACCAGAGCCAGCACGCGCGGGAAGCCCACCAGCGACGATCATATCGACGTCAACTTGGTTCCTGCCAATCTGGAAGTCACCATGAACGACCGCGGTCGAGCCCATGCTACAACGGGCCGCGTGGAGCCATCCGGTCTTTCCTTCACTCAGCTGGCTGAGATAGCCGATCAAGCCCAGCTCCCATGCCCTGGCGATACTGAGGATTCCGCCGACGTTGCGGAAGACCCCTTGACGGTGCCGCGTGCTCACGCCTACGTCACGACCACTTACGAACACCACGGGATCTTGGAGGAGACGAATCAAACGATCAAAATCGCCAACACCTACGACGAAGCCATGAGCTCTCCCCAGCGCGAAGAATGGAAAGGAGCGTGCAGCAAGGAAATGGACAACCTGCGGAAACACAACGTCTACAATCTGG